AGTGAAACGTGTCATTGAGTTGACATTCTCCGATCTGGTGCGTAAACAGGATCGTCTGAGACCGTTGATTGTCCTCTCCTGTTCATCTGCTGTCGGTCGTCGTGCAGTGTGGACCGAAATTAAAACCCGAATCGAAACTCTTGCTGATGACCTCGGTGTTGTTTATCTAATGGGACGTGTGATCAGTGTAAGAGCCTTTCAGAAGTAATTAATTTAATTGCTATTAAGCCATGGCTGCGAATGGTCTGAAATAATCCATAAGTGCATTTTGAGTATCCACTGGGGCCTAAGTTGTTTTCAAGCTAACTTAAAATTGTTCATTCGTTAAATTTGCTGCTGGTACACCAGAGGTCTAAAATACTAGAGGCTCTAGTTTGCAAAGTGCTGATGTAGGAGCGAGAAGACTAGCGCATTTTATAGTGTCACGAAATCAGCTTCTACAAAACATTGTTGAGTTAGGGTAGTTGACAGCGACAGCCAAATCGAAGGTGGCGGATGGTAAGATTGGAGTTTCGCATCATGCTCAACCAAGATGTGTGATAGGATATGCTTCCCTAAATTCGCTTAGTCGTTGTTGGGTAAGAATGGCATTAGAGGTGTTGTGGATCGATGGAAAGCAAGGCACGCAACACAAATGTTGTTAGGGAAAATCTGTGCATTGATTGTAATGGGGTGGATGAATCTAGGCGCACAAATAAACATTTGGTTTGAATGAAGTAGGGTCTGTATTTTCGTAATCGCGCGTCTCACAAAAAATGGTTTGACGCATCAACAGGGTTGGCATAAGCTGAAACTAGAGACTATCTAATTGTTCACTTCAATCTGCACTTTCTCTCTCTCTTGTAGTGTTGCTGCGAAGGATTCTGCACGAAAGAGGACTATGAAGAGATCGATGTAATTTTTTCTACTCTAATCTCCTTATTTGCTTTCAAGTTGCCATTACACTATCTATTACCGCAATTATTATTTTTGTTCATATAGGCTTTCTTCAAACAACATCC